CCCCCCCCCCCCCCTGCCTCTCTGGACTTGTTGAGCCAGGCACATCAAGTCTTTGGATGGATTTGTTGTCTGTAGACTCAGTTATTTTGATTTTAGTGACTTGCAATTGTTTGCCATTTTCATATTCGAAGTCGATTTTTCGGAGACATATCTCATGACACAAGTGCTGAAAATAGCATTTCGAAGCCTCCAAATTTGAAAATCTTCTGGGGGAGGATACCCCCAGACCCCCCTTACAAGGCTCGTGCCTTCGGCACTCGCCATAATGCCCCCCCGTTACAAAAAACCTAGCTACGGCCCTGCCAATTAGATACCGAATTCAATTTAAAATTTCTGTTTTTACCTACAAAGCCTTACATGGACTCGCTACTGCATATATTATTATATTCCTCGATACAATCTAAGGTCTTCTGATGACCAACTATTACTTCATGCACCATCCCAATATAAGAACTCTCGCTACTCTTGGTGACCGATCATTTACCGCAGCGTCACCAAAACTATGGAACGATCTACCTGTGGTTATCCGCCATGCCATTAATGTTGCCGCTTTTAAACGCCTTCCGAAAACCTAGCTTAAAGGAATCTGATGCCCAATTCTTCGTTTCCTTATTTTTACTGTAAACTATTATATGCAAATTCATGCACATGTAATATCCATCTTTTTAGTCCATATATTTTTTATATTTATTTAATACACACAACTATGTTTTATTGTGATCATTCTCTAGTGTAATGCGCGTGTGAGCATATCTCCATGTAACACACGCACTATAAGTCATTAAATTATTATTATTATTATCATTATTATTATTGCTATTATTACTATTATTTTGTGTTCTCCTTTTACAATAAAGTTTTCTTTTGTTTGACACAGTACCAAGAAAGAACTGAAAAAGATGATTAAACGCCTTGAGGACATACAGGAAAACACGTTGATGGAATGAAAAGTAGCGTTTGCCATGCAATTTATCAATTTGCTTTGGATGAAAATTATGTCGGAAAATTGTCATTTTAGTGTGGAATGGTCCTCGACAGCTAACCAGTACTTGAGAAACATGTCATCTCAACAGCCATTTTCAAAGCTTTGGGGCGTTCGCCACTTTAAAGTATTTAAAAATATGAGTGGTATTTAACCCTTTTGATGGTTATTTTGTACAAAGTTTTAGTTATTAACAATAACATTTATTTGTAATGTAAGAACATTTCTGGAACACCTTTGTGCATGTACAGAACATCGGTTGCCAGTAGTTACTCTCAGTGTGTTTCTATAAATTTGCAGAGAACTGGTACACTTCGTTCATAAGATCGCCTTCAAAGAACCCTTGAAAATAGACCGTGATGATAACTTTGTAAATATAAACCTGGAACCTGTCCCAGTTGTTCAGAAGGTGAAAAAAGGGCATTGTATAAATCACTTTCCGGTGGTTAGCAAAATCAATTTCCCTCATAGTAATCTTGTGTTTGTACCATCTGCATAATATTAGGCGCATTAAAAGATTTCTTAGCTTTGAAGATAGAAAGTCGATTGTTCAGGCAATAGTGATGTCGAGAATAGACTATTGTTGTATACCCACTACTAGCTACCTCCACTACTAGCCACCTCCACTTCGGTGAATAATTGTTATTTATTATTATTATTATTATTATTATTATTATTATTATTATTATTATTATTATTATTATTGTGTTTACATTGTAACGATTTAGTGCATGGATAGCGTTGTCCAGTTTTTTTAACAACTGGGCCTCGTGGTCTTTTACGCCACAATTTACATAATCTCAATAAGAACTTAAGTACAGTTTAAAAACGACTGAATTAGCAATTTCCCGTTTTAGACTTGATCAGTGATTTTACGAGATTTTTCGCTTCACATGTTAAGGGGAACATTTAAGGTATTAATTAAAATTCAAGAAGTTAAAAATGTTGAGTTCGCTTAGGTAATAACACATTGTGAAAAACAAGAGAAGACCGAGTTTCAAAGGGAATTTTAAGTAGCTATCACTTTCAGATGCTTATGGCAGTTGGTATCATTCTCTTAAGTATTTAACCAAAAACCATCAAAAACGAATCTCAAACCGCCAGACAACAAGACAAAACGTAAAGTCGGTGGTGCAAATGATATATAACCATTCAGACATTTTGCGAGGTTATTTTCAAAGCCAATTTCCAAAAAGTTCTTGACAAATAGTGAATACCCATTTTCGCAGATTACCGCTGAAAAAACACCACACATTTATACAGAGTTGGTTGTAAAAGATTTAGAATTTGAAAATTTTAAATTCAGTGTCAGTAACTGGTCGTCTTGCCAGATATTTGTGAATATATTCACTTCAGATTTACGCTAACCCTGTGAAATGAGTCCGGTACTTTTATTCAGCAGTCAAGAGGAACGCGAAACTGAAACTGGACAATTGGCTTAAAACCTACTTTTATCTTAATTTTCCAGTTACTTCCAGGAACTTAGCTAGAGTATATGTAACTTTCTCCAGTGTCGAAGAAACAATTATGAATGTTCTTTCTGTCGATAGAACCTCGATGGGGATCAAATCAATTCATAGCCTGTCAGCCGTCTCTCCTCGCTGCTCGCCGCTAAGAACGTTTCGCGGGAGAGACGTTTGCAATTCCATACTGATAACGTAGCTTTGTCAGGAATCTGGTCAACGAGCGCTGATTGGTCGACGTAGTAAATTTATTCTTTTAGCGATTGTTTAAGTGATGGCATTCGAAAGACAAATGGTCACAAATATCAGATGAAAGCGCCACGAATCTACAAGGGACAGTCATGATCCGTGGAATTTTTACAATCTTCTTCTTCTCCTAGATCATTCTCTCTTGACAAGAAGCATTTGAGTTTTGCTGCCGCGCAACAATTTTGCGACAAAAGACCAGGAGAAACATAAACTTAATGAAATTTACATAAATGACTACCAGATTAGTTATGTAAACGTTGATTTACGACTCTTCAGTATGGAGTTTTTGGAGTCGATTCGCAGAGGTTTGTTCCCGGTGAGGACGTCTCTTCCACGAAACGTGTCTAGCGGGCACGGCAGGCTAGCTGAGAGGAGCGAGGAAAGACGGCTGTATTAGCAGGTTAATCAATTCACGACCCTCAATAAAACTCAGTCTTCCATTTTCTACAATTGTGTTTATTCTACAGCTACTTCCACTATCAGATATAGAGCTAGACTACGAGCACGCTCTCAGTTTTCCCTTTTCTTGCCCACTCTCTTTTCGCGTGTTTCACCGCTAGTGTGTTTTGCACAATGCATATTTATTTTAAAAGAAAAGCGAGAGACTGGAGGCAGTGTAATTGCGGGCGACTAGAGGAGCCCGCAATCATAATCTTTAAATTGTTATTTCGCATTCTTGGCACGTATATAGCCAGCATACGTTTGTACTTCCACTGAGAATGAAAGAAATGTATGAACGCAATCTATCACTCGCGTTTCTACCACACGCGCATTTAGCGATTAAAACAAAATGTTATGTTTTATATAAGCAAACGTCCAAGAATAACGAAACCTTCAAAAACATTCCGTATCATTAGTTATAGTTTCTTAATCGTGGAAAACCAAAATATACTAATGGTTCAACAAGACCATTTCGGAATAGTTATCTATCTACCTAAATTTCTTCTTTGAATATTTGTTTCGCTCTAAAAGCGGCTTCTTACATATAGCCAGCTGTTAAAAAAACCACTCTAGAACATTTCATTTAAACGAGAATACAGATTTACAACAATCATACAATAACTTAACTATTCAGTGGTGGAACCAGACCTTCAGGTATGGGGGTGGGGGGGGGGGGGGGTTGGCAACCCAACCCCTGAAAAAGGGGGGGGCCCGGGTCCAAATTTTTTTTTCGGCCTTTTCGGGCCTCGTTTGGGTCTAAAAAAAAGGGGGGGGGGCCCCCCCCCGGGCCCCCCCCCCCCTTTTTCCCTGAAAATAAAAAAATAAGAGTGTGTGTGGTTCATGCAGTGTAGCATAACAAAATATATAAATCGAATTTACTAATAAATATAAAAGTAAATAGAGTGAAGTAAAAAATTACATAAAATTGATGGTTCTGATGGGGAGACTTGAGTATAGTTGTTGTGGGGGGGGGGGGGGAAGGGGGGTTGGTCATCCAGACCCTGAGATATGGCGGGCGCCCGGTCTCAAATTTTTTTTCCGGCTCTTCGGGCCTCAGTTTGGTCTAAAAATAAGGGGGGCGGGCGCCTCCCCTGGATCCGCCACTCCTTTTTCACTGAAAATATAATGAAGGATCCAATTTTCTCGCAAAGTTCCGTTATTGTTCCTGTGCGCGCCCAATACGATAAAACCTATCGTGACACTGCTTCCAAGTGATATGAGAGGAGGGGGTTTTGTAGGAAAACGAAGAGCCTAGTCAAATTCATTGATACTTAAAGATTACGGGTTTCTTTCACATCTCAGGTTGTCATAGTCGTGTGGAGCTGTTTCAAATGATTTTGAGGGGGGAATTCGTTTTGGGTTTTAGGTCTTCGTTTTTACACTCCCTTGTTGCCACTTCGATTTATATGGGCCGCATTAAGGAGGTGGCTATACACGCCGCGGCTTAACTGTATAAGCTTAATGGCATACGGACGCACTTAACTGAGGAACACTCACTAGGTTAGGGAACTGATTTTGCATGTGAACGAGTCTGAGTTTCGGTTGCGAGTCTCAAAATAGTTGAACAACACATTGAATCAGTTTGCAAATATTAGAAGGGGCTCTGTCAAATTATTTGCTATCTTTTTAAAATCTAAAACGTGATATCGAATCAATTTTAGTCATCAAAACTGTTTTCCCGTCGTCTGTTGCTACGTTTGGCAATGGAGAATGGACAGGGATTGAAACTTGAAAAAAACTGGGCCAACTTTTTCAAGTTTAAATGCGATGCCTGCGAAAATCACCAACAAATTTAGTGGTTAACGCACGCTGATGAAATTTGTTTTATAAGTTCTTCATAACTCTGCTGGAGCATTTTGTGTGGGTATTTGTGCATTTTGTGCAAGTATGTTTCGGGTGGCTTGATTGATTTAAGTAGGGGTTTTCTTTAGTCAAAACATTCTGAAGATTTTTTGTGTTATATCATTTAACTATTTCTGGAAATTTTTAAGGCTCGGAAACTTGGCATGGGATTTTTTTGGGGTTTGATTTTTGCCCCCATTCGACCATCCCCGTCACTTGAAATCCGGAGTAACCCCACTCCCTACCACCACCACCACCACCACCTAGGTAGATTTTGAGGTTCACGTTTGTACAGCTATACCACGCACTATAGGTAAGTGATTTCAGCAAGGTTTTTTGCACCCTGAAACGTTGCAAGTTCAAGTTTGAGAGAATATACTACGTTTTAGAACTCTTTTTCTTATCGATTTTTTTACATCTGAACACAATTTCTCAGCTATTGAAAAAAAAGATAGAAGGCATCGAGAAGGAACCAAATGAATGAAAACAAAAAAAGGCTGCCGCGAGCTACCACCTGCGAATCTGGGCAGACGGCTATCGTGAAGCTGCTAACCAAAAAACGTGGTTTGCCGTTTAAGGTCTCTATTGTACCTGAATCTCCACAAGTTCATAACCATTGGGTTGACCGGACTGGTTCGAGTTTCCTGCATTACCACTGTTCCTGGTTTCTGCTGGTTTCTTTGCTTGATGTAGCTTCAGATATCCAAGCCACAAAGTTGAGAAAAACACCAAACCATTTTGAACTAACGTGGAAACAAGACTCTCACTAAGGAACGACTGTGCAACTACTAACAGAACAATTATTAACAGTACAGATGCAGCGCAACTTCCTAGAACAAGAAATAGCGACATAAAAAACGGAAACCAGTACTCACGTCGCCGGCCTCTACGGGCAGAACATCTTTCACACTGGTGGTCATTACATTCATGGGAAAGATAATATTCGTAAAAATCATAAAAAAGGAAAACGAGAATAGCAGAAACAGAAATGACAGCCACTAAAACTGAAATACCCCAAAATGGTTCTGTTATGACGCCCAGCAATATCCACAGCAAATGATGGCAAGCCATGAATATTGCTGGGTAAAGTGTGAAGAAAGAAATAACATTTCCGCTTGGGTCACTCTCATGGCCCTTAGTTAAGCTCAACTTGTATACATCAATATTATCGCTTTTATAGATACGCCAGAAACACCAAAGTGCCCTCCGAACAAGTACAAGCATCGCAGATGTGAAGAATGCCCACATGTAATAATCTTGCTCAAAAGAGGAGCGACTCCAGGCGAAAAAAATCAAGGAAAGTCCGGTGATAAAAACAACTATAGATAACAACATTACAGCAGCTACTTGGCTGTCATTTTTCCTTTTTTCTGCTTCAACTCTGCTGCTATTCTTCCATTCCCTTAGCTGCACTATAAGCCACTGCGAAGCAACTTGACTGAATACCAAACTTATGCAAAGAATACACCAGCACACTCCATGAAGCAGGTTTTTCCAATCAGGAAAAGGTGGAGCTTTCCCTTGACCCACGGTAACACACTCCACTGTGTTCAGACTTGGATCAGGAATATTTGGTGATATTGCTATGTCCTGCAACTACAAATCAAAGCAAGAACATCACTACTAAAACAAAACACTCTCTAAAAGTTGCCTAAAATCGCATAAAAAAACGACAAACCCAAAACGATGACAACTACTATACTACTGCTGCTTCTGCTGCTGTGGCTGCTCTTCCTCCTGCTGCACTGCTACACAACATACTTCTGTTGCTACTGGGTACTACTGCTACTGCTGCTGCTAATAATAATACCAGAAGCATGACCACTGATGCCCCTGCTTCTACTCTTCTAACTGTATTGCTGCCACTACTATGGCTGCTACTGCAGCAATTTCTGCTGTTGCTGCTACGTACACTTAATTCCCAGAACTCTCTGGTTCTCTCCCAATCAATCCCCTGGAATGTGTGTGTGTGTGTGTGTGTGTGCGAGAGAGAGACCATCTCTCACTTGCACTTTGGGGGACAAGTAGAGTCAAACACCGTTAATAGGGACAGAAAGTGTCCGTATTAATGGGGTGTTCTTATTATGCTGGTTGAATTTAGAGAAAATGTAAGGGCTTCCTTTCCCTGCGGACAAAGCAAACTGTCCATAATATAACAAGGTGTTCATATTAAGTGGGTGTCCATAAAGTGGGGTTTGACTATAGAAGAGAACCTTGGGAATGAGGTTGATGCTACTACTGCTGCTACTGATATTGGCACTGCTACCATTACTGCCACTGCTGCCACCCATGGCACCACCCTGCCCAAAACCATCAGGAGTGCCAATGCAGGAACTGGAAAAGCCCATGATAATTTCTACTCATAAAATCATATGTTATGGAGAAAAATAAACAATGAGTTCCACAGTTTTCCCACTACCCCCAAGATCCTTTTTTTTTCTAAAAAATAGGGAATTTCGTAAATATGATATTTAGAGAAATTTGAGAGATGTTTACAGCAAATTGCAAACATCAGATTCTAGTTGAGAATTTCACAAAACAGAAAATGACAAGCTCAAAATGGCCGAAAACAATTGTTATAAACAAGACTAACATGAAGCTACTAATTGTAATGTGGGGTAGAAATAATGAACAGAAAGCATGTAAAGCAGGTCATGTGATACAAATACATGTTTGCTGTTTGCTGTAAACACAGCTCTAAATCTATCTTTTGTCAGGACGCCACCACTGGTTTCCTCGTGAAATGTCGTCTAAGGAACAACCACAGAAATTTCATCCTGATGACGTGTCATTACCCAGATTTGAGTAGTGCTTCTGATTGGTCATGCAACAAAAAGGACACCCATTGCTACACATAGTGAGGCTCAATATTCTATGTTCTCAAACAAAGAAAACCAGTGCTACTAATATTTTAGTTACCCTTTTCTTTTTTAAAGGCATCCACTGAGACAAACTTATGATTTGCAAATGCGTAATATTTTACATTATTATTCGAAGCAAATTTTTTTCCTTTTCGTTGGCTGACAGACCACCACGTGACCTGCAAATAACTGCATACAAATAATGGTCTGCTTATTAAAAATAAAGTGTTATTATGTCCTCCAACTGTGTTTGGCTGCAAATAATACTCTGCTTGTACACAAAAGAAACCAAGCTTTTCCCCTTTTTGCTATTGCTCTTGCATGAAAATGGCAGCTTCCCGAAGATATTTATCAAAAAACAAACTTAGTCACTGAATGATGAAACAACATTATTGAGCTCGGTTATCGCAAAATATTGTGATTTGTCAGTGTCTGGCAGACCTATTATTTGCCTCAGCCAAATAATAGTCCATTTTACAGTTACAGGTGGAAACAAGGCTGGAGTTGACCTTGTTTTGATTATTAAACCTTTCTCCTTTATTATGTTAATCTAAGTTATTGTTTTGCTAACTAGTGTTTTCAGCATAATTTTAATAACAAAAGAAAAGAGGTTTGTATCAAAACAGGTCAACCTCAGCCTCACATTCACTCAGAGGCTAGGGCACTAAGCTCATAAATGTAAAATGGTCTATCTGCTTACCACTGACAAATCACAATATTTTGCTTAACCTCGAGTCCAATAATAAATTGTTAATTATGAACTCAAAAATTTGGAAGTGTAAGCTAAATCGGTATCAGCTATCTCCAGGAGAACACTTCTAGTCAGGTCTCTTGGTGCAAAATATAGGCCGGATCGTTACAAAGGTGACAAAAGTGTCAAATTTGGCACAGAGCTTCGTTAGCACCTCCTGATTAATACTAGAGGGGGTGCCTGTTACAAATGGTCCTAATTACGGATAAAAGGGGGGGGGGTTAACTTTCACCCATAATAGCAGATTGGGTTTCCTGTGGTGAGTACTCTTCTTGTTTGATTTGGCTAAAAAATATTTGTTTCAAATTTTTAAGTTTTTAATTTGGTAATGTTTAAGTCCCCGGTGTCAACACATCCTTATTTCAACTTCTCTCCTTTCTGTGTAGCTTTGACTAGCTTTAAATACCCTTAAAACAGAGCATTAATGGAGAGAGGGGGCCGGGTAAAAGGAGTGCACCGTCGACATCAAGTTTATCAGTTATTATTACTGTCATGAGTTATTGACGTAAAGTATGGTCGCTTTACCTTTTTGTACCTCTTTTATTAAGCCCTGGGGACGAGGTTGGAAAACATGCCTCTCCAGGAATTTTTAACACTATTTATTTTTTAACACATTTGCATTTAAAAAGAAGTGTATGAGGTCCCTGCTGCATGCCTAGACACCTGTAAGGAGCTCATTCACTTCAGAGCCCTCGCACCAGAGTGTTAATGGTAGGTCTATACGATCTTTCAAAAAAAATAAAGGAAGGTCATAGCGACTGCGTTACAATTTACAAACAAACTAACTTCAGAAGAGCTGAAAGTTACAGGAACAAGACCTCTTTTAGCCAACCAATGATGCTTCATTTATGAAAATGAATGTAATTTGTTTGATGCAATTAGGCGAGTACCCCGTGGTTACAAAATCTTATGATCATGAATTCCTCGAGAGCAATTCAGTTACCAACCTTTCACAAAATAATGCTGTGGAAAATTACAGAAAATACCAAAAAAAGCAAGGGTCAACTATAAGTATGGCCTGGTTCCTTATAATAATGCAGTGCTCATGATAAAGAAGCTCATCAGCCCCAACTTTGACCACTCAAACAGTTTTCTAACAGATCACATACCGCAAAACTTTGCATTCACTTATGCCTATGTTGCCACACCAGGAGCCTAGAAATCGGCTCCTGGTCACACCTTGTTTTTATTTGTGAATATCATTCTAAAGAGCTTTATGAAATATTTTGTTAGTAGGGGTGTTTTGAATATGATTAAAATTTAAGAGATAGGTGACAAAAACGAACCCAAATAAAGTCACAAAACCAGACGCATGAAACCACCGCAATCTAATATTCGTGTTACACCGATTTGATGGCTCCTTTGGCTGCTATCCTGACGTTTTTGAAGATGGAAGTAGTATCACAGCTAGTCCCAGGTTAGGTATACTGTTTATTACCAGTTTCACGGTTCTTGAGACTTAGGGCCTGTTAACATAAAGGTGGGGGACCCCAGGTAGGTGACTCCGTAACCTGCTTAGGTGGGGTAAAAGAATAACCCTCCTTTACATGAAATCTTACAACCCCACCATCCTGGGGTGCACTTTCTCAAGATTATTGAATGGTCACTAAGCACGTAAACAAGAAAAATGCTGGCAAACCACGTCTACGTTCACTTGCTGCTCTTGCTGCAACCTTCAGTGTTGTGGCTTTCTATTGTTACCTTTAATAATAATTATTAAAGACCGGGCTACCTACCTTGAAGGGTCACCCCACCTATCATATAAATGTGATCAAATTAACATGAGAGACTATATGGACAGGTGGGTTACTCCACCTATAAGTGGGTTACCATGCCTACCTCGGGCGCCCCTCCTCCACATTAACAGGCCCTAAAAGTTAGCCCGGTCCCCTTTCTTCAGTTTCAGCAGTTACACCATTCACCATTTATCATTTGAGTCAATCTTTTACGACTTGAGTCTCACTTTTACGACTTGATAAGCTGTTATTATTTTTGGACATGAGTGCTTCAATGCCAAATGTAGAGGCCTCATGATAAACTGTGCTGTTTTTCGAAGCTTGGGCTAACTTGTTTCTTTTTTCCTGCTTTTTTCGTTTAAGAGACCAGATTCTTTTTTGTTTGTGTTTGCTTTGTAAAGCTTAGACCAACTGCAGGAATTGTAAATGATATGACTTGTGCCACAATGCTTGCTTCTCTGTCAAAACATGCACGTGCGTCCGATCCAGCAGATAAAGAGAGACTGAAAGGCATTCAGACCTATGTTAAGCTGAAAAATTAATTACCTCCTTAGGAAAGAACTATCTTGGGTTCTGTCATTTCGTTATTTGCTCTTTATGAACAGCAGTCATAAATCCCTGATAAGTGATACGACAGACTCTTTGACAATTTCTTTTTTCTGAAATTTTGTGTGTGAATTGCTATGCCATACGCTTTCTTTAGCTTAAAGTGACATGTAATGACAAGTAATACTTGATAAATATGGCTTAAGCCACACAATAAGGCCTCCTCTAATTGAAATACATTAGAAATGAGAAGAGAACCCCAGAAGCTGAGTACTTGCAAGTTATGAAGCAAAGACGAGGCCATCTTAGAAATGACTTATGAAAATGTGGGCGGACTGTGGACTTGCTTTAAGGGCACAGTAATAAACAACTTAATTATACAATTAATAAGCTAATAATGGATGGAAATGCCAGATGTTCGAGTGAAATTGTTGTTTACAACATGAGAGGAGCACTCTGAGTGACTCAAGGTATTAAATAATTTTCAAACAAAACACCACAGGGACCCCAGCAGGTGGAATTTACAATAATTAAATCCTGCTTAGCACGCTTCAGTGGCATATTTGCATTGGCCACCCCCTCTAATATTCATGGTACTGCAATAAGCTATGGCTGTGCAAAGTTTGGTGCTTTTGTCAACTCTGTAACGATCCTGACCTTAAGAGACCTGACTATTCAGGGAAATGCAGAAGAAAATCAGTTTAAACAAAAGGGGTAATCACTACTTCCTTGATTGCAACTTAGTATGTTTCTCCCACCCTTAATGATAATGATGATGATGACGATGTTTGTGATGATGATGGTGATGATGATGATGATGATGATGATGATGATAAGTTAACAATAATAAAGAAATGGCTAAAAGTCCTACCGTGGAAAGGAAGTAGATCATGGTGTCAGCAGAAAATCTCCTGCAGAACTGTGGCAATGTCAAGTGCAGCTGTCTTTCTCGCCTGTTTGGATAAATAGCCCACAAGGAAAACGCATTCATGGAAGCCAAGCTTATGCTTCCTCCACTGACATACAAACAGGATGCACTCCACGTGAACTTGTATGTCGTGATCTTCGTTTCTGTAGTTTCGAGGATATTTTCCTCTGTCTGTGAGATATTGGAAGTACTACCATTGATCGGAGNCTGAGTACTTGCAAGTTATGAAGCAAAGACGAGGCCATCTTAGAAATGACTTATGAAAATGTGGGCGGACTGTGGACTTGCTTTAAGGGCACAGTAATAAACAACTTAATTATACAATTAATAAGCTAATAATGGATGGAAATGCCAGATGTTCGAGTGAAATTGTTGTTTACAACATGAGAGGAGCACTCTGAGTGACTCAAGGTATTAAATAATTTTCAAACAAAACACCACAGGGACCCCAGCAGGTGGAATTTACAATAATTAAATCCTGCTTAGCACGCTTCAGTGGCATATTTGCATTGGCCACCCCCTCTAATATTCATGGTACTGCAATAAGCTATGGCTGTGCAAAGTTTGGTGCTTTTGTCAACTCTGTAACGATCCTGACCTTAAGAGACCTGACTATTCAGGGAAATGCAGAAGAAAATCAGTTTAAACAAAAGGGGTAATCACTACTTCCTTGATTGCAACTTAGTATGTTTCTCCCACCCTTAATGATAATGATGATGATGACGATGTTTGTGATGATGATGGTGATGATGATGATGATGATGATGATGATGATAAGTTAACAATAATAAAGAAATGGCTAAAAGTCCTACCGTGGAAAGGAAGTAGATCATGGTGTCAGCAGAAAATCTCCTGCAGAACTGTGGCAATGTCAAGTGCAGCTGTCTTTCTCGCCTGTTTGGATAAATAGCCCACAAGGAAAACGCATTCATGGAAGCCAAGCTTATGCTTCCTCCACTGACATACAAACAGGATGCACTCCACGTGAACTTGTATGTCGTGATCTTCGTTTCTGTAGTTTCGAGGATATTTTCCTCTGTCTGTGAGATATTGGAAGTACTACCATTGATCGGAGATCGGGACGATGCGGCTAAATGAGTGAGATTGCCGCTGTCATGTGGGAACTTAACAGTGATCTTGATAAGCAAAGACGGCAAATCCACAGACGGATAAACCGCCTTAGAAATATTGTAGTAGTTATCATACGGCGGCTGCGATGAAATTAAATAGCGCAGTATATGCTCTTCCCGTTCCACGCACGTCGCAGACATCCCCTGTGATCCGGTCAACAAAACCAGAAAAGCAACCTCCACCGGCAACAGACCCATTTTAGTTCGTGAATTTGTTCGTGAGAGTTCGTGACGTTTCGGTTCAATCGAGAGAGCCTGGGAAGAGCCTTCTGTATATGAACATAGATTGACAGACAGATTGACTATGCCAAGCCAAATGTAGCAATATTCAATATTTATGAATGCATTCAATTTAATACCTTTTTTTTGCTATTTGCTTACTGCTATTCAATTTAATCCTCAATTTTCATTCAATTCAATCCCCAATCATTCAATTTAATAACTGATATTTATTCAATTTAATCTACTAAAAGTCATTCAATCTGAACACTGATACTTATTCAATCCAATCCTTCCGTATTCGTTCAATTTAAAATATACATATATTTTTAATTTGATCACTGATGTCTATTCAATTTATTCAACCGCATTTTATTCAGTTCGAACGATATACGTTCATTCAATTCAATCAGCCCATATTCGTTCAATGTTCGCACTCATTCATTTAATTTCGGGGACTGGGACAAGTAAAAATAAACGCGTGGTACTGGGTAACACTCTTCCCGCAAAAAAGATGGCGGAATCGGAAGATATGATCGATGTTTGTGATGATTTAGCAATCGAGAGTTTCTTTGAGCATGTCTTAAACAGGACGGAGGAACTTCTTGATGAGAACTCAAATGTAAGCGGTGAACATCGTATTTCAACCCATTTCGATCTCCTAGAGAGAACGGTAAGATTACTAGCTCAATTGGCGAGGATAGTCACAGACGAAACTGATCTGAAACTGTTAGGCTATTTAAGAGTGGTGTTTTCTGAACTACTTGAAAAGTTCCTTCATCATTTTGGAAGCACGGCATCTTATACCTCGCAAGTAATAACATTCCCTAGTCTATTGGTCAAGACTGAAGGCCCAGGTAGACCACGGGTTCACATTCCGCCTGAGGTACTCGAAGAGTTGAGAGGGCTGGGATTTACATGGCAAAAGATTGCTAGTATATTTAAAGTGTCACGCTGGACAATTATGCGTCGAGTTCGTTTATTTGAACTTGAAAATCTCTCTCTCTTCAGTAGCATCACTGATGAAGAAATCGACGATATCATTCGTGACTACATTGCACGCCATGGGTCAACCACAGGAGAATCCTACCTCCGTGGATACTTTAGAGCATTGGGATATACCATACAGAGAAGGAGGATCAGAGAGAGTTTAAACAGGGTAGATCCAAGGAACACCGCATTGAGGTGGGGTGCATTAGTGTCAAGGAGAGTGTATTTTGTCCCGTGGCCAAACTCGTTATGGCATTTAGATGGTCATCACTCTTTGATTCGCTGGGGCTTTATAATACACGGATGCATCGATGGTTATTCAAGAAGAATTATTTTCCTTCATTGCAGCACAAATAATCTTGCTTCAACAGTTCTTGGTCTCTTTGAAAGTGCTGTGGAACGAGATGGTGGGTTATGGCCCTCTCGCATCAGGGTAGATTATGGTGTGGAGAACACTGCTGTATGTGATGCAATGGTAGCTGTTCGGGGAGAAGGTCGGGGTAGTTTCATTGCTGGTTCATCCACAAGAAATCAGAGAATTGAGAGATTATGGAGAGATGTTTTCAGATGTATTTGCCATGTATTTTACTACATATTCTATGCAATGGAGCAAACTGGAGTTTTGGATGTTGAAAACCCTATTCACATGTTTACTTTACAGTATGTCTATTTGGCAAGAATAAACAATGCTTTATCTGAATGGATGGTCTCTTTCAATGACCATCCTGTCCAAACAGAGCACAGTTGGTCACCAAATCAAATGTGGTTGAATGGGATGATGCATCCATGCAATCCTCTTGCTAATGGCAGTAATGACGTTGAGCCTGAAGATATGACATTTTATGGAGAAGATCCTGAAGCACCGATACCAACTGAAGAATCCAACAACAATGTTGAAGTGTTTCCTGCCCAGCTACCAAGCAACAACACTGATGAACTGGTGGCCTATTTAACTACTGCTGTTGATCCTTTACAGGAGTCTTCTAGTTTTGGTGTGGACATTTATGCTAAAGCTCTTGAAATTATAGTTCATAAGTTAGAGCAAGAACACTGAAGAAGACAGTATTGCCACTGAACAATGTTATTGACTTGTTCTCACTGTCATCATGAGTGATGTACAAAATGCCAATGCCCAAATGTTAACCTGGGAAGCAGGGAGGGGCACGAATTGGATTATGGAAATTTCTAAATATCAGTGTACAACTCATGATCCTCCTTCAGGAGTCGTAATGACTTCCTGTAAACAGTGAATGTATGTACACAAAAAAACTCTGGTATTTAAATTATTCAACACTTTTTATTGAAGAAAGTGATCCTCAGTCCAACGTTGATCAATATTTTCAAGGTCAGAAATTAACAGTCAGCCAGCTTATTTAATTTTTGGCTACTTAAGTTCATAACAGTATCATATTACTAGTGCATGTTCAAAGTTTTGCGACAACAGTAACATTAACATTAATATTAAATTCAACCCTTTCACTCCCAGAAGTGGCCAACTAGATCCAAATTGCACAAAATTCTACAATATATTTTGTAAAAATCTGAAAACAAACTGTACTTTGTGAAAGTACTGCAAAAGAGGTTTCATTTGAATGGTCAGGATTTTGTACACAGGCTCAAAAGGTAGAGCCATATCAAAAGACTCCATCATTCACTCTGGGGGTGAAATGGTTCATCATTAAAATATCAACTTTTCAGTGGTTTCTTTTCTTATTTCATATTTCCATCAATTTTCATGAATAACTTTAAATGTGAAATGATGGTACCAACTGTTAATACATGTAAGCTTAAAATGTTTGAATACATATTTTCCAATCACTTGCTGCCAATTAAAAGTAACCTTGCTTAATTGGAAGTAAAACTATTTCCAGTAAGGTTTTTCAAATCACAATAATATCTACTTCTCTTAAAGAAGTTTTATTCATTATAATTAATTCTAAGATCAACGAGAACCCTTTTTAAGCATGTTCTTCATAACCTTGAAGAGAACTTGGAAACGTTGAATAAAAAACCAGTGGGGAAAAGTAGGGAAGTTCAAAAACGACAGAGTTGAGTTTTGATGCTAGTCACTTTAAATTTGCAAAAACTAATAAACCGATGTACTTTAGGTGCATCTAATTGTTCAATAATAATAAGCAAATTTGTGAGCTGCTTGGGTTTAACATATTGAAGTGTAATCCTGCCTGAACAGGAATACTATCAAAAAAAACTTATTGTCAGGGACCTTGTTAGACAACCCCAAAATATGCATTCTTGAAAGCATAGTCATAAAGTTTGAACAATTCTCCATCTGCTGGCAGAGGGAGGTTTGGGGTTCCTCTTGGTAAATGTAAAGTATTAGAACAAGTATGGGCCTTAGGCAAGAAATCCGTAGTGATCCTTTTCTTTTGTGTACCCTGGAAAAAATAACAGAGTGAAAATGACTGTTGAGCAATCAAAAATCTCATATACATGTACTGGAAAACAAACAGTAATACATGTAGCAGCACTTCAAAAAACTTGAATTCCAGCTTGTTGTTTGAAGAAGCCGTTCTCACATTTTGCTAGCTTGAGGTCATTGAATGAGTGCTTGAGGTTACGATTTAGTTAGAAGGTGACTTGCCAGTCCCTTGCCAATAGGGCCAGTACGAAAATCTAGTTGTCCCAGACTACTAAACAGGACCTTTTTGAGCCATAACCAGGGGTGTGGCAGATAAATATTAATTTTGTACCAGAGAAAGTGTTTTTTTAATGTGAAGCCATTGTAGCCATTTTTAGGCTGCCTCTATACTGGCTACAGTATAATCACACCATAGGATTCCACAAAGTTTTGAACGTTTCAATGTCATTTCTGTGGTTGATACGAGCACAGACCATGGAAAATAAGACTCCTTTGTGCTCAAAATTTGTTGCACTAATTTTTCAAAATACTTTTACTGCTAATCTGCTTTGAAACTTCATAATTATAATTTACAATTCAAAAAAAGGCTTGGTGATGACATTTGCAGGTCTGGTGACACCACCCATAAGCTTGGAGTGGCTAACACAATAGTCATCACTTACATACTATTGTTTACCTGTTCTTCACTGATGTTGTCTTCTGTGGTCTCTTTTGCGGGCACATAGGGAACCATAAAATGAATGCTTGGTTGTTGGGTAAACCCCAACAGTGGCTCTTCACTTGCTCCTGTGACAAATTCCAAGATGTTTTCCAATGTGGTCACTCTACGCCCACTTGCCACATCTCGCAGGTACTTGACAAACTTACTATAAACAGCTTTCTCATACTTTAGACTGTTAGAGCCTTCCTCAGAGAACGTGGGTTTAAGGAGATGAAGGATAAGTGGAACTGTCAATTTGGCATTGTTTTGGGGTGGTCTAAGCAGGTAAAGGAACATTGGGAACTTTCGGGCAAACATGTGAATTCCAAGAGTATCTAGTCCTTGCCGAAGCTTCAAAACACACTTTGAACTTGCTAATTCATCACTAACAAAAATGTCATTCAACAGTTCTTCAGAAAAATACCTTGGTGCCTGCCCATTCTGTAAAAGGGCAATTGCAGCCATCTGCCCTACAAAATAGTAATCCTCTGCTAAGTGTTCCTTAAGTCCATGGTCAAAATATTTTGCCTTGATCTGTTGGTTGAAAAGCCTGATCCACTCTTTTCTTGGACCTCCAATATCTTCAGCCTGCTCACCATAAAACTCTACTTGGAAGGTAATTCTTGGATCTTCCACTGATCGTAGTTCATCAAAGGTTGTTTCCAAGACATTGTCACGGTCAACTGCCATAAAGTTAGTGTCTCCTACGTGCTCTGTGGCATCATCTATAACATCCAAGGGTCGGCCTTGTACAATTTTGCTCTGCAAGTATCTTAACATTTCAGTTGGCTCTGTTATGCTTGCTGATGGAAATTCACTGATAATCTTGTAAAAGAACTCACTGTTCTTCTTCTCTATTTGGCATGTCAGGGACTTATCTCTTTCAGGATCAGTGGTAATTGTCGACTCTTGCGTGTGTTGGGTACTGGTATTTGTACTTGTACTTGTACCAGTGAACTCCCCTGTCTGATCATGACATGTAGTGGTACTGGTGGGTCTTTGAGCTGGCCTGTGAGACTCAAGTAAATCTTCATCAAGCCAATCAGACTGATCTTGCCCTGAGTCTGATTCGTTTAAAACAAAGTTGTATGCTTTCTTCATGCGAATGTAGAGAAGCCCTTGTCCGGCTAGTTTCTTTACGACACTGTAATTGTACTCAGTTCCCTCAGCTAGTCTTAACACTGATATTTTCTTCTGGGTTACTTTAACAAAGTCGAAGTCATTTGGTCCTAGTAAACCGTATTCCGATTTGAGGGATGAAACTATTTTTCCACGCACACACAATTCGCTATCATCCTCATTAAGTACCACCATACCTCTTTCCACAATCTTCTCTTTTTTCAATGTTTCAACTTCATCCTCTTCATCGCTTTCTTCGGAAATTGCCCTTAGAAGAGCAAATTCAAATGGCCTTTTCTCGATGTTCTTGGTCTTTTTCGCCGTCTTGTTTTTCGTCGCTGACTCTGCTGTCGCTCTCAGCCTCTCATTTCTGTTGAGTCTTCTGTACAGACCGCGACTGGAGCTTGTGTTCATCATTGATCTTGCCCTTGCAAGGGTTTCGGCGATCGGCGTTGTTATTGCCGGTCTCATTGTACTCGAATCACTTGAATCCGTTCCAGAATTAGTAGATGTTGATGTTTCCACAGTCAGCAACATATCAGATGCCTCTTTAAGAAGGCCAGCCGCCTTCTTTAATTTCTCTTCATCCATAGTGTAACCAAGATGGTCGACTTCAAAGAGCGGGAAGAATTACCCAGTACCGCGCGTTTGTTTTCACTCGTCCCAGTCCCCGAGATTAAATGAATGAGTGCGAACATTGAACGAATATGGGCTGATTGAATTGAATGAATGTATATCGTTCGAACTGAATAAAATGCGGTTGAATAAATTGAATAGACATCAGTGATCAAATTAAAAATATATATATATTTTAAATTGAACGAATACGGAAGGATTGGATTGAATAAGTATCAGTGTTCAGATTGAATGACTTTTAGTAGATTAAATTGAATAAATATCCGTTATTAAATTGAATGATTGGGGATTGAATTGAATGAAAATTGAGGATTAAATTAAATAGAAGTAAGTAAATAGCAAAAAAAGGTATTAAATTGAATGCATTTATAAATATTGAATATTGCTACATTTGGCTTGGCATAATATTGACTCAACAAAGAAGGAAGAATGTGGGTATGATGTGGGTGAAGGAAGGAGCTATAAATTGTAAGAATGCGATCAGACCTGGCTGAGAGGAAAACGCTGCTGGCAGGCTGGCCAGTCGCATTTATACAGCGCCAGCGCGTCAGATGGGCGTTCAGTCGTAGCGTCGCGTCCTTAACCGTGCATCACTTCGCCTTCTAATTCCTTTCAAGCAAGATGGCTAGGATTGGCAAGGGGCAGGCCTTTACCAGCAATGACTTTAAAAAGGCCATCTACGCCATCAGAGGAAATAATCGCCAGACAAAAGGAATGGCATGTTCGGTTGCTATTGAAGGACAAAACGAAGGCTCTGTTCTGTTAGTTACTGACACTTGGAAAGGCCCAGAACCGATCACGGGGTGTCGATTGCACCGCTATTCACGCAAAAAGCAACACTTCGAAGACTATCGACTTAAACCTATAAGCATTACAGTGCGTGGAAACTTCTCCTTAGTTTTGTGTGATTTTGCATGTGACGGTAAAGGCAGTTTTGAGATAAAAAGTCTTCATAAGAAGTGTTTGAGTGGTCAGCAGCTCAAGAGGGACTTCCGGGTTTACACGATTTATCGAGATGAATGTAAAGTCCTGGAATTAATATACAATGATGGTAGTTACAAACTTATTGACAATGGTTTATATGATCTCACATTATGCGGATCCCCAATCATTGATGAGGATAACTTTAAAAAATATCTCGTGGGAGTTTTGACGACCAACGCTGAGGGCAAAGTTATTCCTTGTTTCCTGTCTAATGGGGTATTAGGTGAGTAATGTCAATGATGATGATTGAAATACTATATTTTACTTGATTAAATGCAACCCTGGAGTAAACGCTGATCTTGATTAAATGCTGAGATTGAAACAAAATTACAATTAAACGCCTCCCCCGATTAAATGCCACACCCAATAAGAAGAATGCACCATTTATTTGAGGATTAACAATGGTAATTGGACTGAGTGGAGTCCAATTCGGTCTAAAATCGTACAAGTGATTAACAAGCAGGAGTCCGATTTGTTAATCACAGGTATGATTTCAGAACGAATTGGATGACAGGAAGTTCTGTAACCAACTAATCATGACTATAACAAAATTTGTGATAGTTTAGGCTTTTTTCTAATTAAAACACAAGAAATTCCCAGAGTTTTTTGGCTAGCCGTGAGCAAAAAAGACATTTAAGAACGCAGGTACGCTGGCGCCCATTGTTCATGTGATTATTTGTGCATGACGCATACTGTCCATTAGTGCTGAAATCAGGACAGTTGATGGCCAATCAGATTTGAGAATTTTGTTATAGTTTATGATAATAATAAGAAAAACTCGATACAACTTGCTGGTCATCTACACAATCCAGACAATCACGATTCTATCTTAGCATAAAAAGCAAAAGCAAGTCATGGGAACTTAAAATTAAACATCTTTCTGCTTTAGAGACATTAAATATTTACAAAATTTATTTCATTTTAAATGTAGAAATTACATAGAGGATATTACACGGTGGCGCGAAGATATGAATTTTATTTTCGAGTGGCAAAACAATATTTTACGAACGAGCGCAGCAAGTGAGTAAAATATTGTTTTTGCCACGAGAAAATAAAATTCATAAAATTATCTTCAAGCCTCCGTGTAATGTTCTTTTTATTATATAGACAAAAAGACATTGATAAAATAATAGATTTTTATTCGCCAAAAAGTAATTGTGACGGCTCAAATTTACAGTACAGCAATATAAGACATGGTTTACAATAATCTTGAGAAATAACACTGAGCTGAATAGGGCTCTACAATGACAAAATATAAGCAAAACTTTGAAAAATGTGTAATTAAAATTCAAAGGACGCAAGACGCCTACAAATTTTGGAGGGAAATTACTGAAATTACGTCATCGATAAACTCACGTGTGAGATTATGGAAAATAAACCACTCGGGTCCCGGATGTAGTTTTTATGAATTTTGCGAGTGCTATATTTTCCAGTAAAACACTCGTGTCTATATAATAAGATAAACTATTTAATAGTGTATTATTTCTGCATTTAAAATGAAATAAATTAGGGTCATTGGAAAAGGTCTGTTATCTTAAATTAAATAGGGTAGCAAAAGGAATGGCTTTTTTTTCTCAGAGGGACAAAATTTGAAATCAAAGATGGCTATGACTATGCTACAAATTTTCTTGGAATAAATAGGTGAATCATACAAGTCTGTTCCTAGAAGAGCTGACTCTTTTGATTCTATTTTTCTTGTGACCATCTCTCATTTGCAATCACTCACTCTAGTATTGGCATTTTGGGTTGTCGCTAATGGGAAGCTTAACTGTAGTATTACTTACATTATATATCACTTTGTCTTGAGACTACAACTTATAGGGTATGCACAGTCTTGAAAAGTCGTATATGAATTCCATTTTTCCTTGAAAAGTCCTCAAATTTCTTTGCAAGTCCTTGAAAAGTCCTTGAATTTTCTTCAACTTTGAATAAAGTGGCCTGGAAAAGTGGCCTGGAAAGTGTTTGGTTGTCCAAGACATAATATAAGTCATAGCTCAGAGAATTTGATTGTTATTTTGATAAAGTGCTCTATGTTTTATGCAAGAATTTATAATCAATTTAAGACAAGTGAACTGAAAAATGTAGAGTTGTTGGTGGAGCAAACAGTTCAAGCCTTAAATTAAAGCCTTATTAGAAAAAGACTGGGAATATGTATTTTTGAGCAATGTGTGAAATTATATAGAAGGTGGTCCTTGAAAATCTAATGTGGTCCTTAAAAAGCCCTTGAAAAATGGTTGCAATTTTTTGTATGAACCCTGAATTAGTACGAATGATCTGATTTACATGTACTTACATGTAGCATCAAGATTACATGATAAATAGCTATTAATTAAGCTAAGCTACTTATCATATACCCTATTTCTGAAAAATGTTTACTTGTTTTGTTAAAATATGACATTACTTTTTTATAGAAGAGCCAGCATTCACCACACATCCTAAAAATCATCAGACACTGAGGGAAGGGGTAAATATAACCTTCTCAAGTGATGCACATGGCATTCCTGAACCAACATTTACTTGGACCAAAGATGGATCGGCTGTAACTGCCAATGATAGAATCAGTGTATCAGCAGATAACAAAAAACTGAGTCTTACAAATGTGAATAGGGCAGATAGTGGAGAATACAGATGTGTGGCTACCAACAGTGTGGGCACAGTTAACTCCAATGCTGCTACATTAACAGTACTTTGTAAGAAAACTTTTACTTACTCTTTATTTAAACCCAATTGAAAAATCACTTCCACTGCTCCTATCCTGGATTATCTCAGTTACTCCATATGAGTGCTGCCTTTCAAAATAAAGGGCTTGTCAGGTGCCTCTCTAACTTGATTACCTCTCACTATTCTTTTATTCAGAATCAAAAAAGTTGTAGAATGCTAGAAAACACAGTTATTTTGTATTTGTGTTTTTTTGCTAATCAATGGAGCCTTGAGTTTTTCCTTACTCATATTAATATCTCTATATGAGAAGTGTTTACATAACTGTATGTTACTCATTGACAAGTAAACCCAGTTTCTTGTGGTCTTGGACTAGAGTCCAGAGTACTGCTAGAGTCGCACAACACTGATGCTGTCAATCAATGCAGTGACTGTGAGTATGATGTCGAACATCTCAGAATCACATTTACCTTTAAAAGGCTTAGTTTCCTTGGTCAACACATATAGCAATTGGTTAGCTAAGTTTTGTTTTGTCGGTGTGTCTTCAGATCATTGAAGTACATCATTAACTTCAGTCCTAAGGTATTTTGTAAAGTAGATGTTAAACTGAAAATGTACAACATTCTGGCTAGTAAGGTGCATTTAGTCATTCATTTCTTATGACAGATCAGCCTGAATTCACAGCACATCCACAGAGTCAGACACTTGTGGAAGGATCAAGTGTAACCTTTTCAAGTGATGCAAATGGCGTTACTGAACCAATATTTTCATGGACCAAAGATGGATCTTCCGTAACCGCTGACAATAGAATCAGTTTATCAGCGGATAACAAGCAACTGAGCCTAACGAATGCGAATAGGACAGACAGTGGAGAATACAGATGTTTGGCTGCTAACAGTGTGGGCACAGTTAACTCCAATGCAGCTACATTAACAGTACTTTGTAAGAAAACTTTCACTCATTTTTTACTTAAGTCAAATCGTTGTGCAATCCTGTGTTGCTAAGTAAACATTTGTAAATTTTACTTTCCCTTTCGTTGCCTGGATCTATTTTAGCCACTCCTTATCAACATCAATCTGTAGGTGATTTCAAAAACTAAATGGAAAAAGAGAGTTAAGTTAATTATTTTATTTCTTTCTTTTTACAGTTCCTCCAGAATTCACTGCACACCCACATAGTCAGACATCGATGCAAGGATCAAGTGTAACCTTCTCAAGTGATGCAAATGGCATTCCTGAACCAACATTTTCTTGGAGCAAAGATGGATCTGCTGTAACTTCCGACAATAGAATCAGTTTATCAGTAGATAACAAACAACTGAGCATTACAAATGTGAATAGGACAGACAGCGGAGAATATAGATGTGTGGCTGCCAACAGTGTGGGCACAGTTTACTCCAATGCGTCTACGTTAACGTTAAAAGGTAAGGATATCTTTACTGGCTTAGACAGCAAAACTACGTTACACTAAACCGAATTTTAGGGAAAAAATCCGACTGTTTTGCAGTCTATTACTGGCTTAATGTTGAACAACGACCAATTCTTCATACTCGCTCCAATAAACTTTTCTTCCAAGTCCGGAAAACTTCTGAGTAACAACATTATTGTAAGTTAAAACCTCTGTTGAGTCGCAAAATTATAAAAGAATATAAATCACCTCAAAGACTAACGAACATGCTAAATTCCGTAGGCAAATTCAAAAAAGAGAGTTCTTGTTTTCCAATACATTCTGCAAATTCTTTTTTTTCTGTAAAAGTGTAACATGCGCACCGACTGAACAATACGCAGTGTCGTCTTGAAGAACAAGGATTGATTAGCGTGCCACCCCGCTCCCAAGTCCACACATAACAATATTCTGTTGCTAATATTTGTGATCATCATGATGGCGGTGTCTAGGATAATGATTGTAGAGAGATTTAGAATCACGTTTAGGGCAAATGTCAGGCATCACAGTGAAGTGAACGATTTCTCATGAAAGGAAATGAGCTGATAAAAGAGAAGAGAACAGCCCAAAATAATTGCGTACAACGGTTGGAGAACACAGTTCATAATCTTGGGTTCCTTTGCTAGTAATTATAAGCGGTGAACTTTTTCGTCGTTCCTGCACCTTTTCGGTGCCTTCAAGGTTTGGTTTTTGCCATCTGAACACTCCCCTATATTAGAATAAGTATTAATTTTATTTCCGGTTTTTCTCGTGAGCTCTTCGTTGATTACTATTTGCTTTCACGGCAAAACTCAATGACACGTGTTTCCGGCCGCCATGAAACAAGCACACACCAACGAACACACTCAATAATGTGCGATCGCTTCTTGTTCTTATGGATGAAACTATATTCCTGGGTTGAAACGCCAGCCGATTTCTTAGTCCCTTTCCTTTTAATGTTGATTTCGATGACGTTTATGCCCAAGAAAGCGCGTGAAATCAACATCGGAGGGAAAAGAAGAAAACGATAAACGTATTTTTGGAGCCACTTAGTTTATCTTGTGTTTTAGGAGGTGTTTCAACAAATTAAGACCGGAGTTGTAGCGTGAAACTGCTAATTTTAATAATGGAAAGTATACTACAAGTTACGAAAAAACTTGGTCACGTGGTACAAATTGACGTTTGTGGTCTTCTCAAACGTGATTCTAAATCTCATTTTGATTCAATATTTTAGGGCAAAAGTAAATACGTAATGTACGTAGTCTTCTTTAGTTATAAAGCGGACAAAATAGGAGCTACAAAGTCTTTAGAATATAGCTGCAATATGCTCGCCATTTGGATCTTACAATGCTCCTTGTACTTTAATTAAAAGTGAACTATAATTATTGAATTTCTGAAAATTCATTGGCTCACCGTAGCTTATACTTGAAGTGTGCATTTTTTATTGGAATCTATCTTGTATTTGGTAAATAATCTGTTACGCAGTTGACATAGAAAGAAAATGCATCCAGTCACTCTAATTAATGGCAAACGTCAAAATTCGAAAAAAAGGGAAAATTTCATTTTATAAAATTGTTGAAAATAAATAGTATCATGTGACAGTACTGCCAAAGAGGTTCCATTTGAATGGTCACACCATGGGATTTGGTCCACAGACTCAGAAGTTAGAACTACACTATAAAAAAATAGTACCCCAGAATGTGAAAGTGCTGCTGAAGAGTCTTCATTTGGATAGTCCGGCACCGTAGGATTTCATCCATAGACTCCAAAATTAGGACCACCTTGTAAGAGTCTTTTATTTAGTATGGGAGTGTAAGGCTTTATAGTACATCAAATTATTTTTCCATTTAATCTTAGCCTAGAATTATCAAATTAGATTCTCCTTAAGATCTGTTACCCTAATCGCTCAACCACAATTGTCTTTTGCGTGATCCCTGTGAAACCATCATCATCATGACGAAGAAAGAATGCACCTTTAACACACTAAGCGTCGCTCTACCAATAGGCGTAGCCATTGTCATTTGTCATTTAAAAGAGAAGTTAAAAATCATATCAGCTCCTAGACCAACCCATAAAGGTCAGGAGCTCATCACTTTGGGGTTGTCCATTGGCTGCTAATAAGTATCATAGTGCGTTAGATTTTCCGTCTATTTCTAGCATGATTTCTTTTCCAGCAAAAATGCTAAAATTACCGTTCAGTAATCTCCAATCAGTAAACTCTCTTCGTTTGTCACTTAGTGTACCTCATCCATTGCGGTACCTTGTTGGAAATCATACTCGGCTCTGATTGGGTAATAGTTCTTTCATGCGAAAGATGAATCTGCAAAAATCTAAAACGCTTTGATCATGACGTAGACCTTAATTAAACGAAAGATGAACGGCCAAAGGTGATTGGCTCCTGTTAAGGTACAATTTCTCCTTTTCCCATCCATTGTCAGGTGCACCAGGACAGCAGCAAGAGGAATTTGAAGTCGCTGTTTCGAGGCTGACCAGCACACACGATGGTCGATCCGAATACAAGGTTATCATTAAAGTTTCTGGCAATCCGTTAATTGACAAAGTTGAATCAATCAGTGATGTAGTAAGGAAAGTATTAGATACTGTTTTGGTTGACGAAGCAGCACGTAACATCCGGAACGTAGAGCCGTATAACTCAATTCTTGTCGAATTGCACTGTTATACGACAAAAAGTTTCCGCTCATTAATGGAAGATTTAGAAAATGGAAGAGTAAAGGGACGGCTAGAGGAAGAATTTGAAAAAGTTGGATGCAAAGGGGAACTGGAAGTGACTCTCATAAATGCAGAGGAGGTGCATGAGGCACTGGATGAGATAAGGTAATTTTGCGCTTTTCCCATTTTAAGTTTTGTGGCTTCTGTATTCACTGAAAAATTATATGTAACATTATACAAGGACTTTCTCACTAAAATACTATCACCATTTGAGTACGTTTATCAGAGCACAAACCACCGCCATCATCAAAACGGCCTGCTCCCAATGTATCTCAGTAATGTAGCTCAGTAATGCTAGAGCACTGCAACGCAGAAGCCATGAGTTCGAATCCCGTTAAAGCCTCAAAATTTTTTATCGGCTTTATTTATTTGCAATTGCTTAAACTGTTAGGCCGATTTTCATATGACCTTGAAATGAAAACGCGCCAACAAAACAGAAACAACGCACGAACGGAAATAGAGCGATATGATTGGTTTATCAAATGAATACAAACACGTGTGGCTTTTGGTTGGTTAAGCGAACGCTCGGGTGAAAAAACCTTATGCCCGAGAACTTTCTACAATCAATCGATACTTCGCTTTGACGTCATAGTGCAACACGATTGGCCAATCGAACAATGCCTTCTCCATATTGGGGTTTTCTATGGCGGGAAAACGAAGAGACAATGTTTTGATCTTTTCAGCCATTGGCTGATAAAACAAATAACGAACACTTACCGAAACCATTTTTTAAGGTCATACGAAAATCGCTGTATTACAACTGTGGCGATCATATCTTATTATGTTAAATTTGTATTTCCGCGGTTCACATCATCTTCATTATACTAGTCATTACTGCCTGCGCTTTACAGCAATAAAATTGCCTAAACAGGCATAAAATTTACATTTATATAGCTTTAAAAATAGTTTTTGTTCGAGTTGTGTCCGTATTCATACTGTCGGGGAATATTGTAGCTTTTATAATACAGTGAGGCAGATATGTGCAGATTTGGGGCCGAATTGTTCACGTTCTGTATCTTGTTAAAGCGGGTTTTGGAGTGATTTCTAAACTGGCCGCCATTCTGACCATCTAACTGGAAGTACACGAAAGTTAGCATGTTTATTCTAAAATGACGATGAAATTGTTTATTCTATGTTTTTTTCCAGATATTTATGTCATATAAAATAGTCAACATTAGATTCTCATACAAACACTGTAATTTCGCACACGGTTGCCTACTCGTCAGAATGGCTTTCAAAATTGTGACAAGGTCTAATGGTTCAATTAACTGTATTTTTGCATCGAGATGCCTCGTCGCGCGCTTCATGCTAACGGACTCAAAAGGAATGTCAGCAAGAAGATTAAGGGACACTGTTACCAGCAGTAGCACGGCTTAACTTGTAACCAGTCACCACGGAAAACTCAAGCTTAAAAACAAGGCTGAGTGTTTCAAGCCACCGAACACGTCGAGCAACCGAGCTACCAAACAGTTATTAATGCACGCCCTATTAGGTCATTATAATTGTTCATAACAAGTACTCCAAGTCTTCAATAGGGAATCTAGATAGGTTCACTCCATCCTCGGAGAGCCAGGGGCGGTCAGTTGGTTACGAATAATGGCGGTGAAAGACCAGGGGTGGTTAGTTGGATCAGGAAAAACAGCGGCGAAAGTTTTCAAGAACGGGCGAGAGAGCCCCTGGAATGCTACTCTTAGCAAACCAATTCCACGATTCATTTGAATGTTTGTCTGTACAAGGGCACAAAAAATATTTTGGTTCCCAATCAGAGGCCAGCATCTATCGAGCTGCTTTATCTTCTTTTACGAACCAGTTTACCTGCAAACTCGACTGTTCTCTCTACACCCGTGATAAATTGCCTCCTATATCTGTATCAGTCTGGCTCATGCAGGAGAGCTTTCTTCGTTAAGAGTTTTCAGTGAAAATGAGCCCCTAAAGTTTACTCTACCAGTTTCATTCTATCCTCTTCTATAACTGAGCACAAAACTTTAAAAACAAATTTACAAACTTTAAATGGCGAAAAAAAGTCTTCTGCACGTGCCTGACAAGTATACCGAGCAAGCGTAAACAATCACGAAGACGATTTTGTATGAACAAGCCTAGAAGTACTCTAGTGTTTACGAATTGACCCTCGATTAGTTCACAGGCTGATCTCTTCAATTGGTTCATTTTTCGTTTCGTTTTGTTTGTTTTTCCGTATAATTCCATACATGTATTATGCATGCATGTTTCCATTCTATTCATGCAGAAACTCATAAGGGGTTGAAACG